TTTATTTATTTATTTTTTTTTACAGATATTGTGATTTTTGATTTGCTATTTAATTTTGTAGTCAAGCTTCAGCTCAATAATCTGCATTGTAGCTTCTTACTGCTAAAATGCAGTGAGTGTTATTTAAAAAAAGACCTGAAAATATAATAACTTACTCCAACATTTATTCAAATTTGTTTTTAAATATTCAGAAATTAAACTCATTTTTCTCTATAGCAAACAGTAAACATAAATAAAATAATGACCTTACCTTACTGTTAACAAGTTGAACTCAATGTAGGGAGATAATGTAGCTTATTATACAAACCAAAAAATAATAATAATCAAAATACAGGTCACTCCTCAAACTAACATGGCTGGTGAAAGGCAGATTGAAAAGTTCTGATTGGGCAGAGCAAAAGTGTGCTCACTTAATTGGCGAGTAAGACTATTACACACACAGATGGAGATCTTACATTTGCTCTGGGTGGGGGAAAATTAAATAATACATATATATTCCATATCACAGCCTCTTGCGATTAGTCCCGATTGTGATTCGATTTGGATCAATTGCACAGCCCTACTATTATGTAAATGAATTATAAATGAACTTGCCTTGCCTGATATTTCCTCTCTCTCTCTCTCTCTCTCTCTCTCTCTCTCTCTTTCTTCAATTCAATTCAATAATTGCTTTATTAGCATGACAAATGTTACAAATGTATTGCCAAAGCAGTTATAAAGTTTACATAAAAAGTAACATACCTATATAATAAAAAAATAGTACACACAGTAAATAGTAGTAAAAAAAAAAGAAGTGATATTTATATATAATAATTCAATACAATTTTAACAATACATCATAGTATTCAGTATATCACATTAATATTCAATATATTATGTTATTATTCAACATATTATTCATACATGTAGTGATGACATTAAACTAGTAAACTAGATACTGGATACTAGTTTTCAGCTTAAAGTGACATTTAAAGGCTTAATCGAAAAGAAAAAAAATTCTTAATAATATTGACTTTAAAAATTGGTTAAAAAAACAGCTTTATTCTAGCCAAACTAAAAGGAAGAAGACTTTCTCCACAAGAAAAAATATTATAGGAAATACTGTAAAAATTTCCTTGCTCTGTTAAACATAATTTGGAAAATATTCACATTAAAATGCACAAAATATTAATAAAATGCACAGACATTAACTGTATGTTAATGATGTTTGAATGACGTTATTGACAGTGTAATAATCATGAGTGTGTTTGTAGACTCGTTCTCTGCTGGGTGTGTTTGAAGAAGATGCAGCAGCGATTTCCAGTTATTTCAATCAGCTTTTCAAAGCCATGCAGAGGATCTACGACGCCCAGGTGAGAATTCAGCCTTAATTCCAGATTAAATCAATGATTATTACATAAACTCCCTGAATTTATATAATCTGAGAGAACATTATAAAAGAGTCTGATAAATTTAAACTGTAAATTTTGTCTTAATTCACATTAAAATTAAAATATTGAAATTACAGCTCGTGTTTTAGATAAAGAAATTAAAACTACTTTTTAAGATCAGGATTTTAAAGAAATATTATTATTATTTGTATTATAACTTATAATTTTAAAATATAGCAATTAATACAATTATGTATTATTATCCCTCTTTAATGGCTTATACAGTATATTATTTAGTATTTGTATTTTATATTAAAATAAAACAAAAAATGTTCAGTCATATTTTCAATAAAAAATTAAGTCAAGTTTTTTAAATGTTGGATTATTATTATTGTTCTCATTATTATTTAGGGTATAACTGAATAATATAAATTATATTTATATATAAAAATATAATAATACAAGTACTATTAATGTTTAATTTACTATTGTTATTATACGTGTGTGTGTGTGTGTGTGTGTGTGTGTGTGTATATAATATTTGATATTATTTATGCAATTAATAAATTATTGTTATTATTATGAAACAAACTAAATTGTAAATCATAGTGTAGATTAAAAAAGTTAATGTTTTTAAGTAGTTAATTTATCATTATTCTTATTATCATCATTTAAGCTCTAACAGTTACTGCAGTTATTTATTATTATATTTTATTTATTTCATTAATAAATTAGTAATTATTATCAATATTATTAAACAAAAAAAGAAGTCATATTTTAGATTAAGACAATTAAACCATGTTTTTTTAAATATTGTATTATTATTATTATTATGTAAGGTATTATATATGTTTATATTATTTTACATTATTTATGAAACAATATATTTAATATTATTATTGTTAATATATTTATTATTATTATTACTATGAAAAAAACAAAAATTGTAAAGCTTATTTTAGATTAAGAAAATTAAAATGTTTTTAAAAGTAATTTTTATTATTATTCATATTATTATTATTCATATTATTAATATTATTATTATCATCATTATTTAAGGTATAACAGTTACTGCAGTTATATCTTATATATTATTTATGCCATTAATAAATTGATATAATCATTGTTATGAAACAAAAAAATCAGGTATTTATTAATTAACAAATTAATTAATTAATGCAATGAAAATGTAATTGTAATGAAACAGTTGTAAAAAGGTTTTCCTGAGCCTGATGTGTTTCTCTTTGCAGAATGAACTGAGCGCTGCCACACATCTGACATCGAAACTACTGAAAGACTACGAGAAGCAGGTGATTTTCAGCTCATTTTCAGTCATGTTTTGTGTTTCTGTCTCTGAATGTCTGAAAACTGTCTGTGGTTGTGTCTGCTGTTCAGCGTTTTCCTTTAGGTGGCGACGACGAGGTGATGAGCTCCACTTTGCAGCAGTTTGCTAAAGTTATCGACGAGGTGAGAAACTCCTCCATCGCTCATGAACGACCGTATTAATATTAATAACAGTTCTGGTTATAACTGTGTTTTTATTTCAGCTCAGCTCCTGTCACGCGGTTCTCTCCACGCAACTCGCAGATGCCATGATGTTCCCCATCACACAGTTTCAGGAGAGAGACCTGAGAGGTGCATTATAGAGGATTCTCACTACCTTACTGTAATTTATTTGGTTAATAAATAATGCATAATTGATTGTTATACAAAGAAGGAAATTACCTGCATTTTTATGTTAATTTGTTTAAAACAAATTTTTAAGTTATTTGTTTTTTTGCACATTACTGTTTTATATATTTTTATATATTTTTATTTATTTAATTATCATTAATATTAATACATTTAATTAATATGTTAAAATTAATACATTATTACAAACATTAATGCAAAAAAATTGTTTTATTGTACAAAATGCTTGAAAAATACATTTATGTGCCTATACATTTTTTATTATTCCTTTTGTTTTCTTGTTTGAGTTATTTATTAAGTCCTGTCAAAAAATGAATGCTGAAAAAAATACATGAAAAACATATATGCATGTCTGTATACTGTGCACTTATTTTTGTGTTTATATATAAAAATACACACATGTATATATTTGATAAAATGCTTATTTGAATTTATATACATATACGCACACACACACAAATATAAATATATAAATATATATATATAATATATATGTGTGTGTATGTATATATGCCACATATATGTGTGTGTGTGTGTGTGTGTGTGTTAATGTTTTGGTTTTTTATTTTTATCTATATATATATATATATATATATATATATATATATATA